GAACCCTTTATCTTCCTTTCTGGCTGGGCCATGACATATTTTAACACAAGCTTTCTATGTACCCAGTGCCTAGAGAGGAGATTGCCTACGTGCCCTGTACCTACAGGGGAACATGCATTGATGAACCTGACTACCTGGCCACCATCGATATCAACCCCAGATCTCCATATTATTGCCAGGTACCTGTGTCTTGAAACGTCTTGATTTGTCTTGCTCTGGTGACTTGCTGTTGGCTCTGTGCTTCATAGTGCCTCCAGATTCAGGACATTTACTCTTTTTTGCTGGGGAAGATCAGACTGCTTCATAGCCACTCTGTCATGCAGGTTGTTTATACCTTGTACCTTCTTCTATTTCTGTCTTATGGCCCCTGACTTGACTCTTGCCTCCTGCCTGTTCATGTCTTGTTTCCCAGTATGGAAAACCCCTTGTGAGTTTTGTCATGACAGATCTACTTCTTGCTTCTCCGCTGGTGTTAAGTGTGAGACTGGGATGTTGTCTGCTTGGAGTCTTCCCTTCCTGCTCCCTTTCCATTGTCCCATGTATGCCTGCCTGTAGTTGATTCATCTCTGTCTTTGTATCCCCTGTCAGTGGCTGCTCACCATGGAAAACGGTCTCTGGTGACCCAGGTGGTTCAGGGTATCCAGCGCTTTTGCAGAGTTCAGCATTTTCGATGCTCTGCATTGTCAGAGCTGTTCTGTTGTGCACTGTACTAACCTGTCTGCTGTCATCCCAAATGGGAAATCACATTTCCCTGTCTCCAAATCTTATCTACATCAAGGGTGTGTGTATGACCTGATTAGTCCGCTACCGCAAGAGCTTAGAAGAAAATGCACTTCAAAGCCAATATAGGCTTCTTTAAGTTTTGAACACATTTTGAGCTCCAGTCCAAGGAGGAGTTTGCAGAGCAATGCACCAGTCTGGTGAAGATGATGATCCACATTTCTTCATATGCATGATTTGTTGAAATTTAGTGGCATGGGGTGAGGAATTCTTGAATGAATCTCTGTATTTCTCAGCTGCACACAGCACATAGCAAAGAGCAGTGGCCAGCACGAGGGGCAGTATTCTCCTCCCCGAATCTCCAGAGGCAGTCCCAGCTACAGTCTGATGGAGGCATCCAAGCCAGAAGTATCTTCCAGCACGAGGGTCCCCACTTCTCTCTCCCACCCTAAGTGAACCCTAACTCTGCCTTGACTGCCTAGGTGATCTACCGCCTGCCGATGCCCAACCGCAAAGACGAGCTGCATTCCTCAGGATGGAGCACTAACTGCACCTGCTTCAACAATTACCCAGTGAAAAGGAGCAAACTGATTCTTCCCTGTTTGATTTCTTCCCGCATTTATGTGGTGGATGTGGGTTCACAGTGCCGGGCTCCCAGGCTGTGTAAGGTATGCCTGAGGTGATTTGAAGACAAGTTTCTGGGAAGGAGTTGGGAACTGGTGCTTCGGGAATAATACCCTGGGAGGAAGGGATCTCCATCTTCATCTTCTCTTCCACTCTGGTTTTAGAGAGCTGGGTCATGTTTCCCTCTCAGCTCTCTCCTTTTCACACCAAGGAAGGCTCCAAGGATCGTTCTGTTCCTTTCTGGGTATCTGTTGCATTCAGAGAGCATCTAGTAACTGTGTGTCACGTCATACTCCAAAACTGCCCACCACCCAAGTAGTGAGGTGGACAGACAGGCTGTTATGAGTCTGTATAGAGGGGATTGCAGAGGCTTCTGTGCTTCTCTCTGAAAAGGAGCTGGCCTCAACAAGTGTGAGTTCTTGGAAAGAAAGCCTGTTGTAGAGTCACAGGGTATCAGAGGTCTGCGATGGCCAAAGGCTGTGCCAGGGAGTGTGCAAAGAGCTGAGCAGTCAGAGGCTGAAGTGTGTGTGCCAACCTTTTCAGATGATCGAGCCTGTGGATGTCTTCTGGAGGTGTGACAAGGGATACCTCTGTGTAGTTCATAGCCTGCCTTGTGGTGATATTTTGATTTCCAACATGGGAGATCCGGCTGGCAATGGAAAAGGTACGTTTTCCTGTAATCACTCCAATAATGTGATTCCTATTAGGAAGAGCTGTTGTCCTCTACACAATCAGGCATTCAGTCTATTTGTCTACTGATGTTCAAGTGGAGTGTGTGATTTGTTGTGCATCCTCTTTGTGCATCACAGGTGGATTTGTGGTGCTGGATGGAGAGACCTTTGAGCTGAAGGGGAACTGGGAAATTGAGGGCGAAGCTCCCCCAACTGGATATGACTTCTGGTACCAGCCACGCCACAATGTTCTGGTCAGCACTGCTGGAGTAGTGGTAAAACGTGCGGCACTTGGATTTAATCCCAACGACCTCGGGAAAGGTGAGGGAATACGGCTGAGTGCTGAGCCAGAACTCACCATGATGGTGGGAGGGTGTGGATGTGGTCACAGAGGGGACAGGCAGATTTCTCCCCACATGGCCCATTTTACAGGCACTGCTGCAGCACGTGCAGCCTCTGTCCTTAACACAGGCTGGTCCCTGTCATGGAAAACTGTAGTTTCTCTGTTACTTCTGGGCAGATGCTGCCATGGCTGTCCCTATCTGTGAGCATTTTGGGGAGGGAGGAGTCTCTGTGTGAAGCCCCCTCTCTTCTGACTTGGTTTTCCTTTTCTGCAGGGGTCTTTGGGCGCCGTCTGAACTTCTGGAACTTGTCCTGCCGCACCCTCACGCAGTGCTTTGACCTGGGGGAGGATTCCCTTCCTCTATCTGTTAAATTCCTCCACAACCCCGATGCTGCCGAGGGATACGTCAGCTGTGCCCTGAGTGGCGTCATCTACCGCTTCTACAAGTGCGAGGCAAGTATTCTGCCAGCAGTCAGGGCAGACCAGGCCATGGTGAGCTACAAGGGTTGAGAAATGCACAGAAGAAATTTGGGCTCACAGAGAGAAAGGAGGAGGCATTTGGAGGTGTCAGTATTCAGACTCTGCTTTGAATTTGTATGCTAGAATGAGAGGGGTCTTTTATTCCACTGAGCGTAAAGGGAGCTTATCATGACCAGCTGAGATGCACATCTTAAAGGTCTTTTCCAACCTAAACACTTATATGACTATATGATTAACTTGAGTGATAAACTTAGCCCTGTTGTTGGTATCAGACAATGCTGTCTTTAATTCTGGCTGCTCAAAGTAGCTGGATGCTGTTGTCCTGTATGGGCTTAAGGATGGCAGACTTGACTGTAAGTACAAACATCTTATCTCATAAGAACAATGTCTTCTTTTTATCAGTCTTCTGATGTTCTCTCTGTCCGGGTCTGGCTGGTCCAGATTTCTGTCCAACGCTAAGGCACATCCTGACCTTCTGGCATATCTGGTAGTTTTCTTTAACCAGAGAGCACCCAGAGTGGGGCAAGTGTCAAGTCTTTTCCCACTCTGAGGCAGAGCATCCTGCTGCAGCATTGGCACCATCTCTCAGACAGCTTTGCTGAGCTGTGCAAATGTGGGAGTCATTTTGCCTGGCCAGCCAGGAACGCTCATGGTGCCTGTGTTTCTTGTGCAGAGCGACAACTGGGCAGTAGAGGAGGTGATTCGGATCCCAGACATAGAGGTGACGGGATGGATCATGCCTAAAATGCCAGGTTTGTGTTTCCTTCTTCCCAGAGCAATGTGTTGTGCTGCCTGGCAAAGTCCACTCGCTTGATTCTCAAAGCCTTGCTGCATAAACATGACAGAGGGCTCATCGAGGGGTTGAGGGCTGTGCAGACCCCCAGGATGGTGCCTCCTTTAGAACTCTGTGTTTCTGTGCCCCACAGCCTTCATAGTTGACCTCATCATCTCAATGGATGACC